TTTCCTATCTCGCACAGCTTTTCTTATCTAATATCACTAAGGGATGACCACTTTTTAAAGTCACCTTTTGTTTAACTTTATATAATAAAATAGAATGTATAACTGATTCAAGGTTGTAATTTTTCAAATATTAGTGGGTAATTGTAGAGACATGAATGCATTTTCTAAAGCACAAAGCAATGCACAAACTATAGGCACATCTTTTATATCTGGGGACCAAAATATTCTGCATATAAAACTCCCTATCAAAGCCTTACTTAGAGATGCTTATCATAAATCCAATCTCAATAAACTTTCTATGTGCTAACAAAAATGAAGGTATTTAACTTTCCAGGACTTGCATTTATAGGCAACAGGAAAGACCACAGAAGTTTTTAAAGACTAAAATAAATGAATCTTTAAAGGTGTAATTTCAAATTGTGAGAGTTAAAGTGTGGAAACAACAGAATCCTAATCAGTTTCATTCAAATTACAACGTGTGTCAAGTTAGCAATCTCTCCTTGTGAGATAAAACTAATGTACTATAACTGAATTACTAAAAACAACTCCTGAACCTCTTTCCACACACCTCCTGATCTCTTTACATGTTTTAACATCAAGTTTACCCTGTAAAAGAAAAGGTCACTAAGGACAGCTAACCTCAATGAGACACCTAATATACTAATTAAAAAAATACAAACATCAATGAAATACCTAATATACTAATTAAAAAATACCAAAACTGGATTTCAAAAGGAGAAAAACAAAGTGAGAAAAAGTAACATCTTTTTTAAGATGTTACACTGTTATTTATTAGACAATTATCTACATTAATTTTATTGACTATCAAGTAATTTCTAAAGCATTAAGATATTAAAGATGTAGCACTATTTTTTATTTTAACAAAACACAATTGAAAATTGTGTCAAATCTAACTTAAAAACCGACACTAAACACAAACTTACTCATCAATTAGACTAAGCAGGGAAGGGAAAAAGAAACTAGTTCAGAGAAACAAGACATTAAGGAAAAACTAACTTTCAACTGTCCAACAAGAAAATAAATAATACAGAAGTTTCAAGGCTGGTGTTTCCCAAGGGAAAATATTTAACAAATCGGTTGCTTGTCACCTATGCATGGTTGAAATTCTAGCAATTGCAACACTAACATAAAGTTATGGGCATGAAGATTAGAGAAATATTACAGAGTGCAAGAATTGAGAGGCATACCTTCCATTAACAATTGTTTGCTGAATAAGGGGGTGGGAGTGAAGACTGGCAGTTCAGCTCTCAAATCCCTCCTCTCCCAAATTACAGTGTTTGGGGGATCCAGATGTAATAATACATCACCACAAGACCAAACAAAAAAAAAACTTACAGTATTTCAACATAAAGCAATCATTCTACAATAAAATACTCTCTATGTAAATACAGACTGCCCTGTAACCGTAAAATGCCTATTAATTCAAAAGGAACGGTCGTTTTAATCCCATTCTCTACTTCAGTAAATTACACTACAACTGGACGATAAACAACTCCTTGAAAATCAAGTATATCCCTTTATTAACTCTCTACCTTCCTTCGTGTTTCAAAACCCCATCAAACAACCAAGGTATACAATTCAGTTTATTTCCTGGGTGCTTCCCTTCTCCCAAACTCCCAGTGGAACACAAATACTTTTTTAATCCACATAAATTGATACCTAGCAAATAATTCAGTCAACCTTAAATATGCTTAATTTTCAAAGTTCTAATAAGATGTGTTCAGGTTGGAAACGAAAAACTACCTTATAAGGGTATAAAAGACTGAAAGCAGGAAGCGGCTTTGACAAAACTAAGGAAGTTGCAGCGCGCTTGCTCACTGGGGGACTTTTTCGAGGCAAGAGAAGTAACACATGACATCTTTCTCCCTCAATTAAAATGTGACTTGGTTCACCGGTAAAAATGCAGTGGGCGATGGAAAAGATCGGGAGTCAAAAAGGAAGAGGAGGTGGGTGGTCCTATGAAAGCCCCGCTCTAGGTTCCCATTTTCAGGATTCTTCCCTTTCCCCACCCACACCCAGCAGAGTGGTGTCACAGCAATCTTGCAAAACCTAACAGGAGCGCTTCTCTTTTCTCGCTCCCCTGCCAGGCCAGTCCCCACGGCGGGTCCCCAAGGTGCTCAAACCCACCGGCAGGAAGGCGCGCGGAGGGGAGGGAAAGCCGGGTGCGCAGAACCTGGCGACCACCCCCGCCGCGGTCTCCGGGGAGGCGACCGTCCCCGCATCTCCTGGGCGGAGCTGCCCACCGCCGTGGGGGGAAGGGCCGGGAGGGATCGCCCGTAGGAAGCCGCTCCCAAAGGGAATTCTCGGCCCTGCGCCTCTCGTCCGAACCCAGAAAGAGAAGCCAGGGAACCAGGGAGGCCCAAGCTGCTTGCCCCACCCCTCAAAACCCGGCAGGGCGAGGACTGACACCGCTGGCGGCCACATCTCGCCGGCCCATTCATCTCTCGACCTCCTCCCTCCCCCGCCATTTTCCTGCCTCCGCCTCAGTTTCCCCACCCTCGCCCGTCAGCCCCCTTACCCCGTGCCACAGTCCACCACACAGGCCGGCAGCCGTCCCGCCATCTTCCTCCTCGCCTGCTGCTGCCGCTGCCGCTGCCGCTGCCGCCGTCTGCTCCGTGCTGTTTGCGGCCAGAGATTGGCAGCAGGAAAGAGGAGCTATCTGACCATCCACAGCAGGGCCACCCTCTCCGTCCGGGGGGGAGCCGGGAAGCCGAAGCAGTAGCGACAAGGCAGCAGGCTCGGTCAGCGGCTACCACTTCCGCAACCCAGGCCGGCAGGCAGTCCCCGCCCTGCCCCGCCGCGGCCTCCTCCCCCTCTCTTCCCTCCTCCTCACTCTTGCCCCCACCCTACAACTTCTTTCCCTCACGCCGTCTTTCCTGGGGAAGCCAAGATGGCTGCCGGTGCCGACGCCCCGGCCAGGACAGGCCCAGGTCGCGAGCGCTCCCCCTTCCGGCTCCGAGCGGGAGGGGCAACAGAGCATGCGCGGTGAGGTGCAGCCAGAGTCCGCCGCTCCCTTCCCGGCGTTATTGAAGTCCACCTCGGGTTTTCTGAGAGGGTAGGGGCGGAGAAGTCCGTCCGAACCTCCAGTTCTGCTTCTGAAGCTGGAAGAGGGTGATAGTTTCAATTACTTCTCCGCTAGATTGAGGAAGGATTGGAACTGCTTCCCGCTACCGCAAAAGACTTTTCCAGTGCCCCGGGGGGGGGAAATGGCCTAATTGAAAACATTGCCAGCGGCATACAATTCTAGTAACTTGAGTGACTGCATTTTTGAATGGAAAAGAGCGTTATACGTGTGGGTGAGCAGTCGGGGACCGATGAACAAAGGCTTGCACCCTGACTCTTCTGCCTTTGTGTAGAGGTTTTGTTCACTTGTAAGTATTGCTAGTGTTACATCCTTTACATTGTATCCCATACCTCCCCGCCAGAGAAGGCCTTAGCCCACAGGAAGGCAACTCCCTGGGAATATTCTACGTAATACACAAATAGGCTTTTATTCAGTCTTTCAGAAGATAACAAAGATTTGCCCCTGGAATTTGAATCTGCTATCTACTAGCAGGGTTATAGCATAGATTAAAAGCCAAAGTTTTGATTTAAAAAACAGGTTAAAAACATCCCCCAGAAAAATGGCTTTCAAATTGAAGTGTGCATTGGAATTATCTGCAAGACTTGTTAAAGAGTTTTCTGTTTAATTGATATGGTGTAGGGCCTGGTCATTTGCTTTTCTCCTAAGTTACCTGGCAATTATCTGGGATCCCACTTGAGGAACTTAAAGGTCAATAACTTTCCTCTTCACCAAGCTTATCATTCCATAAACTACAGTGGGCTTACTCATGTGAAGGTAAAATAAAAACATTTTTTTCTAAGAAAGAATGTCTTCTTCAAAAGATCACATAATAACGGCTTTAGACTGGCGGGGAGAATGGAATAGAGATTTTTCGTTTTGCATTTAGCTATGGCTCACTGCTATGGCAGAGGTTATGTTGATGCTGAATATTCCCTGAGCACAAAATAAAGTCTCTGCTCTCAAAGCTTACAGTTTAGTGAGGAAAGAGTTTGAAAAGCAAGAAAGCACGGGTTAGTGAGAAATGGAGATGAGGACTTAATGGGAGAAGCAGAAGATGGGGAAGGCATCCTTGACACAGCAATTAAGAACTAAGTTCTGAAACATAGTAGATCAGGAGAAAGGCTGAGGATGAACAGAAACCTTCCAGGAAGAAGAGCAGCGAGTATCAAGGACCTGAGGTGTAAAAGTGCTCAATTTCTTCCACAAAGACCCACATGGTCAAAGTGAAGTGAACCAGAGAAGATGCATTGGGAGTGGAATCCTGAAAGGAAGAATAAAACAATTAAAGGATTTATGGACTTTTCTAAGCACTTTAAAGTTTAGGCTAAAAGCGACTTAGAAGCCATCAACAAGGTCTAAATGGGAAATATGGCTGCTTTATTTGGGAATTCCACAAAGTGAAAAGTAAGTGAATGGTCTTACATATTGTGGACTGGAGTCCAGTGAAAGAAATATGAGATGAAGCATACAGATGGAATCAATAAACGCAGAAGGGAACATTTAAGGGCATCGTCATCATCAGTTAGTGTCCTCCACATGTACAGTTACTCACAAAAAGGAAAGAATCCACAAGGGTTGCTTTTTGCAATATTATATCACTAGAAGACTGACAGAAGTGTTCTTTGTTCAGATTCATAATTGTTTTTTTCCCTACATATTAGGAGAAGATTCTAGAGCATCATTCTTAATGGCCATTTCCACTATTAAGGTGTTTAAGATCATATGGGAGAACATGCCTAAATATTGACTTGACAGAGAGGAATGTGGCTTGTTTAGGACAGAGCAAATGGCTGTTTCCAGCAACTACAAAAGGAGTCAGATCTAGAGTCAGAGTGGGAACTTGAGCAGGTAGCCCAAGGAAGCCCACTCTGGTAGACCTTACATGGTTGCTTATAATCTGACCTTAGATGGGTGTGCAGAGAAGGATGGGAAACTGAAATGTCCCAGAGATTAGCAAGTGACATTAAGATTGAAGAGGACCCTGAGGAGGAAATGACAATGTGGAGAAACCACATCCCAAAAGAAAAGTACAAAAAATTTGCTATGCAGGAATGCAGGCCTGGTATTGCAAGAGTCTCCCTTTTTTAAGGGAAGTCAGAAATCTGTAATTTTATCTGTGGGTATCTGAGCTGTGGTCTGCCAGTTTTCACCTTCTGATTTACAAGGCACACTAACATTTATTTGCTTATTACATTCCTATATGAAGCTCACTGCAGTACTATGTCTGTTTTGTAGACATGAGAAATGCTTCTACCATAATCTCTTTCATGTAGTCAGTATTGTCTAAAGGCCATGACCTCGAGAAGCATTTGGAAGCTTCTCATTAGAAGTGTCATCTGCACTTGTTCCTCAAATTGGTCTACCCAGACACTTCTGCTTGCTTAAGTCACCTTCTACTTCCTGCTTGCTACATGCCAAATTGGTCAGGTTCTGTACTACTGCGGTGGCTCAACCTTCCTGAGTTGTGCAGCGCCTTTAGATGCACATCCTGCCAAAGCATTTCTGATCAATGGTTTGCATATACACCCTTCCTGCTCGCCCTCCTCTAAGCACAAAGAAGCAGATGTCAGAGCTATGGGAGTCTTAGAGATAACTTATTAGATATGAAAAGGAAAGGAGCGAATGGTGGGGTTTGTTCACCTGCCCTACATCCATTATTCCCTAATAGCACTATGGTTTCTTTTTAGGTCAGGTCAGCTAGGTGCTTGATTCTTGTTAGTTTCCAAGTGTACTTCTCAACCTTTCAAGCATTTGTGAGTCTTAAGATACTTTGGCAAGCACCTCTCCTTCCTGCATTTATATAGGTACTGCTCCTTTTTCCTCTTCCTAATAAACCTTCCCTTTTAACATGTAACAGAAAAGAAAAAAAAAAAAGATGTCTTGGCAAATATTGGCCCTTTATTAGCAGACTCAATTTTTGGAATTGGCTGAAAGTTTTTTTTGTTTGTTTTCCAGAGCCATGTCTAGTACATAAAATGGCTGATCAACTATGGTTCTGCTTTTTTTAAATAAAAATTTTATGTGACTATAAAGTAATAAAACTAGTTTTCTATAGGTGACTTACAAAATGTCTGTAGCCATGTTTCTAAAATGAAGTTTTAGAAAAAATTTTACTTAGTGGCTACATCCCTGGAATAAAGATGTTATACTCACTATATCTTTACTTTAAACAGAAAATTTATTTCATCTGGTGAAAATGTCTGTGTAGTGTTTGAAATGTGGTGAGATTCTCTACCCCTACTACAAGCAAAATATAAGTTAATTTATAACTCAAATTGAAAGTCAAAGAAGGTTAGGCTTTTATTTACCGCCCACCATCCTCCTCTTTGTGTATTTGTATAGATACACACACACACACATATATGTATGAATGTTAAATAAAAACAATTTCCAGATAGAAGATATAAATCTTCAATGTGGAATAAAATCCATTTACTTATCTGTGACCTGGTAAGCTGTCTCTGATTTGCTGTCTCTCCAGCTTCTCCCTCAAGCATTAGCCAAATCAGCTGTCTGGTCTTATTCATACACACCCAAGCCAGGCCCACTTTCATCAGCTCTTCAGACTTCCCAGCAATCACTAGTTATTCCTGAACAGTTTATATCTCGTCTCCTTAGGAAGCCTTTCCTAACCTCACTATCTGAAATAACCTGCCTCACTTTACCCAATCACTGTATTTTAATTCTCTAGTGAAATACTTTATAAGTTCATTTGGTTAGTGTGCATATTTTCCAACTAGGATTTAAAGAAGGCCTGGCACATAATATGGATTCAATAAATATTTGAGCAAATCAGTTGAATAATAACAAAACTATAAATATATTAGAAGAAATTTTGAAGGAATATTTTATAATACAATATTTCATTATATAGTATATTTATGTAAAAATATATGATATATATATATTTAATATAATATGCCCATCTCTAGGTGGGTGAGATTTTTCTTAGTTAGAAACCTACAAACAGGCCCTCCCTGGTGGTGCAGTGGGCTAAAGCACAGCACTATGAAGCTATCCTCAGCCACTGCAGCACATGTTTGATCCCTGGCCAGGAAGGTGACCCACATGGCAGGGGCAGACCTCTCCTAACCCGCTGACCTGTTCTGCTCCCCACTTTCTCTGGTGATTCCTCTCACCACCACTACCACGCCCATACCCCTGTGTCTCTGGCCTGTACCCCAGTTCTTGTGTACATAAATAAATCTCTAAATAAAAAAAAAAAAACAACTTGGGTGTAGGCTGGAGTTGCAGGGAGTGACAAAGTGGGAAGCAAATCAGGTGGATTTACTATGACACACTTCTGAGTAGTAGGGAGCAAACTCATGCCACAGAGGCTGGGGATAGCTCTTGATAGTGCAGTCTTTAACCCCTGCACCACCAGGAAGGCCTTGAAGGAAATTAAATGGAACTTTAACAAAGAAAAAGAGGTGTTCGTTACTGGCAGTAAAGGAAACACAAATTAAATGTTGACAGCATTTATCACTCATCAAATTTACATTTAAGTGAAGAAAAAATATCCTGATTATTATAAAGAAAAAAAATGGATGTGCATTAAACACTTACTTCTTGGGAATATGAATTGCCTCAACACACAAAGTTCTCTATTAGAACTTGTATGAGTCAGTTTTAGAAATCCCATTTTGGTGAGTCCTAAAAATTTTTGAAGTACTGATGTCAGAAGGAAAGATTATGATCATTAATTATTTTTTAAAATTTGAAAATTTGGAAATAGATCTTTTACTTCAATTGCCTCTATGACCAAGGGAATCTCAGGTTTTGTTTTAACTTAGTAAAAGGAGAGCCTAGATCTTGAGAGGCACTAGAATTCTTTAACATATGTCTGTATTTTGT